GAAGCAGGAGAATCACTTGAACCCGGGAGGTAGAGGCTGCAGTGGGCCAAAATCGTACCATTGCACTCCAACCTAGGCAACAATAGTGAAACTGTCTCAAAAAGGGGGGGGAAAAAAAAAAAAAAGGCCCGGGCACGGTGGCTCACGCCTGTAATCCCAGCACTTTGGGAGGCCGAGGCGGGCAGATCACCTGAGGTCAGGAGTTTGAGACCAGCCTGGCCAACAAGGTGAAACCCCGCCTCTGCTAAAACTACAAAAATTAGCTGGGCATAGTGGTGGGCACCTGTAATCCCAGCTACTTGGGAGGCTGAGGCAGGAGACTCACTTGAACCTGGGAGGCGGAGGTTGTGGTGAGCCGAGATCGCACCATTGCATTCCAGCTTGGGCAACAAGAGCGAAACTCCGTCTCAAACAAACACACACACACCACAGCCTGGCCTCTCAGCTGGTGGACAATACAGTATTGATCACTGGTGTTCCCTCCACACAGTGGCCGAGTCACATCAAATTCCAGAATCCCTGCAGACATCCCAAGAACTCTGTAATGTACTTAACTCACAGCTGTGGCCCCGCGGGTGACATAGTGCTTGCCTAGCACAGAAGATGGGTGCAAGGGGAAGAGTACCAGCGCTTCATAAACGCCTACTGGATGAGTTGAGAGATGGATAGAGGTGCAACACAAGCTCTGCAGCCTCTAATCCATTTGAGAGGCCTTTAAGATTAAGTGAAAAACCGAAACTGAAATAAGAACAATGAACTAATCCCCTGGACTGAATAGTTTAATTAGTACTGTGGTAAGCTAGCCCAAGATCAGAAATTCACACTTCCTGGGCTGGGCATGGTGTCCCACACCTGCAACCCCAGCACCATGGGATGCCAAGGTGGGCTGAAACGCTTGAGCTCAGAAGGTCGAGACCATCCTGGGAGGGCAACATGGCGAGACCCCGTCACTACAAAAAATACAAACAATTAGCTGGGCATGGCAGTGAGTGCCTGTAGTCCCAGTACTCCTGAGGCTGAGGCAGGAGGATCTCTTGAACTTGGGAGGTTGAGGCAACAGTGAGCTGAGACTGGGCCTCTGCCCTCCAGCCTGGGCAACGGAGGAAGACCCTGTCTCAAAAAGAGAAAAGAAAAAAGAAAAGAAGAAGATTCACTCTCTCATACATTCTACTTTACTCTAACTTCTTTTTTTTTTTTTTTTTTTTTTTTTTTTTTTTTTTTTTTTGAGACGGAGTCTCGCTCTGTCGCCCAGACTGGAGTGCAGTGGCCGGATCTCAGCTCACTGCAAGCTCCGCCTCCCGGGTTTACGCTATTCTCCTGCCTCAGCCTCCCGAGTAGCTGGGACTACAGGCGCCCGCCACCTCTCCCGGCTAGTTTTTTGTATTTTTTAGTAGAGACGGGGTTTCACCGTGTTAGCCAGGATGGTCTCGATCTCCTGACCTCGTGATCAGCCCGTCTCGGCCTCCCAAAGTGCTGGGATTACAGGCTTGAGCCACCGCGCCCGGCCTACTCTAACTTCTTAACTATGGAGAAGAGTCCACAGGTCAGAGCATTTAGAGACAAGTGGGCCTGCAGCAGGCACATCTGATTGGTCACTCAAAGCCTCTTTGTGCTTCTAAAAGCACAAGTGAGCCTCAGAACACCTCTGCATGAAAGAAACAAGTATAGGAATCACTGGGGTCCCGTGCACTCAGGCTGACCCCTAGCATTTCTAGGAATGTTCACCCAGCCAAGAGCACCGAGACACACTTGCTTTAGACAACTTCATAGCTCACAGCACTGCACATTGCTCCACTGGAGAAACAGCCATCTCCAAGCACTGTGCACACAAAAGGCTACTCGATGTCCAACAGCTACACACATCATGCAGTTACTGATGCCTGTTACGTGGAGCACTGGCAGGAGTGTTGGGAAAACTGGTGCTGACAATCACGTTCTAGCTGAGCAGCCAACCCATCTTGGCTCATTCCTGGATATGATATTTGGGCTTTTCTGAGCTCTTCTTTCTTCCTCTAGAATTGGGGTGGCTCACTGATTCCAAGAGTGTGCCTCCTGTGTCCTTTATACCCAGAGATCTACAGGGTTCTGTCTCGTCCTTCCTTCCAGAAATACCAAGCATCCTTTCTACAGAGTCTCATAAATGGAAAACCAGGCAGGATACAGAATAAAAAGCAAATAGTGTGACTTATTAATACACTGTAGAAACAGACCAAAAAAAGATTCCAGAAAAATCAACCTTACTAAGAGACAATATTTGGAAATTTAAGAAAAACAGCCTAAGTAACATTTTCAATAATCTCCCCCTAAAAAATCTCGATTCCTTGAAGAGAGGTGCCAGTCTCTTTTCTACCACTGCATTGCTTCCAGCCAGAGCAGAGATGGGCATACTGAAAATGCTCATGAAGTGATCCAAGGCCAGCCTCAGTGGTTCACAACTATAATCCCAGCCCTTTGGGAAACCAAAGTGGGAGGATTGCTTGAGCCTAGGAGTTTGAGACCACCCTGGGCAACATAGTAAGACCTTGTCTCTACAAAAAAAATATAAAAAATCACTATAGTGGCACACCCCTATAGTCCCAGCTACTTAGGAGTCTGAGGCAGGAAGCTCAACCGAGCCCAAGAGGTACAGACTGCAGTGAGCCGTGACGGCACCACTGCACTCCAGCCTGGGACAAAGTGAGACCCTGTTTCAAGGGGGAAAAAAAAAAAGAAAAAAAATCAACAAATTTGGAAAAGGCACACAAAACAGAAAAAAAAAAAATGATTTGCTGTTTAAAAGCAACCAAGGAGGCTGGGCATGGTGGCTCACGTCTGTAATCCTAGCACTTTGGGAGGCTGACTCAGGTGTATCACTTGAGGCCAGTAGTTCAAGACCAGCCTGGTCAACATGGTGAAACCCTGTCTCTACTAAAAATACAAAAATTAGCTGGCCAAGGGGGCGGGCGCCTGTCATCCCAGCTACTCGGGAGGCTGAGGCATGGGAATCGCTGGCACCCTGGAGATGGAGGTTGCAGTGAGCCAAGACTGTGCCACTGCACTCCAGCCTGGGTGACAGAGGGAGACTCTGTCTCGGGGGGGGAAAAGAAGACAACCAATGGTTTGCTTTGTTCTAGTTCAATTTCTTCAACTATTTAAAAAGCTGATAGGACTCAAGGAACCAAAATTGTATCTGATGGCCTCAAGGGTTATGTTTGAAGGCTTGCTGATTTGCAGAAAACTCAAAGCTGACTGTTCAAGATGTTCAGGGCAAAAACTGCCTAGCTTCCATGCATGGGTCTTACCCATGACAAAATGTGTTCTGTGATTTAAAAATGGCAGGCCAGGCGCGGTGGCTCACGCCTGTAATCGCAGCACTTTGGGAGGCCGAGTAGGGCGGATCACAAGGTCAGGAGATCGAGACCACGGTGAAACCCCGTCTCTGCTAAAAATACAAAAAACTAGCCGGGTGCGGTTGCGGGCACCTGTAGTCCCAGCTACTCGGGAGGCTGAGGCAGGAGAATGGCGGGAACCCGGGAGGAGGAGCTTGCAGTGAGCCGAGATCATGCCACTGCACTCCAGCCTGGGCGACAGAGCGAGACTCCGTCTCAAAAAACAAAAACCAAACAAACAAAAAAGGCAGACCACCTGGGCAGATCACTTGAGGTCAGGAGTTCGAGACCAGCCTGGACAACATGACGAAATCCTGTCTTTACAAAAAATACAAAAATTAGCTGGGCGTGGTGGTACATGCCTATAGTCCCAGCTACTCGGGAGGGTGAGGAGCAGGATAATCGCTTGGACCCAGGACGCGGAGGTTGCAGTGAGCTGAGGTCATGCCACTGCATTCTAGCCTGAGTGACAGCAAGACACCGGCTCAAAAAAAAAAAAGGGCAGACCATGATTGAAGCTCATGTTGATGTCTAGACTACCAATGGTTAGAGAAAACCTCAGCACCAACAGTTCTAAGATGATGGAAATTATGACCCAAGAGATGCAGATAAGTAACTTGAAAGAAGTGGTGGAGAAAATTATTCCAGACAGCATTGGAGAAGACACAGAAAGGCCTGCAAATCTATTTATCCCTCCGTGATGTCTCTGTTAGAAAAGTGAAAATGCTGAAAACACTCAGGTTTGCATTGGGAAAACGTAGGGAGCTTTTATGGTGAAGACAGCAGTTCTGGAAAAGCTACTGGGATGAGACAGGTGCTACAACGAAAAGTCCTATTTATGATGAAAAAAGTTTATATACGAAAGTTGCATTAAAAAAAGGTATACAGCCGGGCACGGTGGCTGACGCCTGTAATCCCAGCACTTTGGGAGGCCAAGGCGGGTGGATCACGAGGTCAGGAGATCGAGACCATCCTGGCTAACATGGTGAAACCTCGTCTCTACTAAAAAATACAAAAAATTAGCCGGGCGTGGTGGTGGGCGCCTGTAGTCCCAGCTTCTTGGGAGGCTGAGGTAGGAGAATGGTGTGAACCTGGGAACCAGAGCTTGCAGTGAGCCGAGATTGCGCCATAGCACATAGCACTCCAGCCTGGGTGACTGAGCAAGACTCCATCTCAAAAAAAAAAAGGGGTATACAACAGTCAGGTGCAGTGGCTCATGCCTATAATCCCAGCACTTTGGGAGGCCAAGGCGAGTGGATCATCTGAGGTCAGGAGTTCAAGAACAGCCTGGGCAACATGGTGAAACCCCATCTCTACTAAAAATACAAAAAATTAGCCTGGCATGGTGGCATGTGCCTGTAATCCCAGCTACTCAATAGGCTGAGGCAGGAGAATCGCTTGAACCTGGGAGGTGGAGGTGAACTAAGTGAACTGAGATCTTGCCACTGCACTCCAGCCTGGGTGACAGAGTGAGACTCCGTCTCAAAAAAAAAAGAAAAAAAAAAAGTTATAAAACAAAAAAGTTTTATAACAGGCACTTCACAAAAGACAAAAATAAACATGAAAAGGTGTTTGATCCCATCACTAATCAAAAAGCACAAATTAAAACTACAATGAGACACCACTGGACAAGCATCAGAATGGCTAAAATTAAAAGTGACCACGAGGATGTGGAGAACCTCAAACACTGGCACGAATGTGAACTGCTCCCTCTTTAGAAAACAGTCTGGCACGTATCCAGTAAAACTCAAAGACACTCACACCTCGGGACGCAGCAGTGACGCCTTATTTAGGCAATGCAATGCCAAAAATGAAAGTTCATTTTGAGGGAAAGTAATAAAGTGAGATGAACAAAGTCTCTCACGGCATCTTACCACATTTTTCATTTCCCTTCATATTTCAGGGGTTTTGAATTCCTTTGAAAGTTGGAAGAAGGTGCACACCTGCATGCAGAGTTTCCAGTCTTTTTTTCTTTTTTGAAGGAAACAGGGTCTCACTACGTTGCTCAGGCTGGCCTTGAACTCCTGAGTTCAAGAGATCCTCCTTGCTCAGCCACCCCAGTAGCTGGGACCACAGGCACAGAGTTTGGAGAGTTCCCTGATGTTCTGACGGCTACCTCTGGATCCTGGTATCCAGGGATTCCTGTCTTAAAGGTACAGAGCTCCAGGAGCTAGAGCAGTGCACTCAGGCTATTCAACAGGTCCTGGTGGAACTGGTAAGGAAGGTTACCCCACTTCCAGAAAGAATACATTTATCCATTTTACACTTCCCTGCAGGTAGAGTCTAGGGTCACCCTGAACACATGATCCATCTATAGATGCCCCTTGTCCTCAGTGAATAGCATTAGAGGCCTCCCAAACAGATTCACTCAGAGAGGCAGAATTCCAAACTCAGGTATACGTCTCAGTGTAAATTCATAAACTGGCATTTATTAAATGGACTTATTAAAACCAAAAATAAGTGGAGAATGATTAGCAAGAGCTATCAAGTCCAAAACAATTATTTTGTGGCTGAGAACACTAAGGACAGTGTGAGATAAATCCACTGATCAAACTGACCAGTAGATCTCAGACCAGAACCTAAGACTCCTGCCTCCCAAGCCAGGAGTGTCTCCCTTTTACCTATCAGCTCTCCCTCTGGCCACCCATCCATTTTCCAGGGCAGCTCCCTCAATGCCAATATTCCCGGTCCCTGGGTCTCCCAATGACTGCAGATCTTATAAAGGTTAACCAGGCAGCCCCAGGTTAATTGGGAGTAGGACTGACAACATAGAGCCCTAGCCCAGGGAAACAGAAGGAAGGTAGGGAAGTGCAGAGAGGAAGCCCTTGTAGCAAGAGCAGTTTAGTCATCAAAACAAAACAAAGCTGGCCAGTGTGGTGGCTCACACCTGTAATCCTAGTGCTTTGGGAGGCTGAGGTGGGTGACTGCTTGAGCCCAGGAGTTCAAGACCAGACTGGGCATCACAGTGAGACCCTGTCTCTACAAAAATATTAAAAAATCACCACCACCACCCCACCCAAATTTAGTAGGGTATGGTGGCATGCACCTGTAGCCTCAGCAACTCAGGAGGATAATGTGGGAGAATCACTTAAGCTCAGGCGTTGGAGGCTGCATTTGTAAGGTATGGTCATGCCATTGCTCTCTAGCCTGGGCAACACAGTGAGGCCCTGTTTCTTTTTTTTTTTTGAGACAGAGTCTTGCTCTGTCACCCAGGCTGGAGTGCAGTTGCGTGAGCTGAGCTCACTGCAACCTTTGCCTCCTGGGTTCAAGCAATTCTCCTGCCTCACCCTCCCGAGTACCTGGGATTACAGGTGCGCATCATCACGCCTGGCTAAGTTTTATATTTTGTTTGTTTTGTTTTTTTTTTTGAGATAGAATCTCACTCTGTCGCCCGGGCTGGAGTGCAGTGGTATGATCTTGGCTCACTGCAACTTCCGCTTCCTGAGTTCAACCCATTTTCCTACCTCAGTCTCCCCAGTAGCTGGGGTTATAGGTGCCCGCCATAATCCTTGTATTTTTAGTAGAGATGGGGTTTCACCATGTTGGCCAGGCTGATCTCAAACTCCCGAACTCGTGGCCCGCCCACCTCGGCCTTCCAAAGTGCTGGGATTACAGGCGTGAGCCACCCCGCCCAGTCTGAGATCCTGTTTCTAAAGCAAAAGAAAACACAAGTGTGAAAGGGGAAATGATGTTGGTTTGTCAGCCAACAAAAAATCAGTAATTGTCTTCTTGTGGTCAGAATCCTAGCTCTCTCCTCAGGGTCCGGCAGAGAGAAAAGGCCAAGAAGACTGGTGAACATGGAGTATTCAAGAAAAAAAAAACTTTTGCAGACACCACTTTTCAGCTTTAATTAGCAACTGGTGAAACCAAGGTGTCAGCTGGGAAAAAGAAAACAGGGAAAAAAAATCAGTGACTGTGCTATAGCTTTCAGTTAACATACCAAATTAGTTATCTTTCCAGAACTCCATGGAGTACACAGGGACGATAAGCAAAGTCGTAGGTGTATATGTACCTCAGAGAAAACACTAATGAGACCTAAGCAGAGACCACTTACAACTAAAGCCACTGCTGCTTATCTCAGATGGTTTTCCATCCCTGCCCCTTTCTATGGATTGAAGTCTTGAAACGTCTCAGTACAACCCTATTCTGAAGTTCTCAGCACAGCTAAGAAGCAACACCTATGGTATGTCCCTGTTCAGATACCCTGGCATCAGCCAGACAGAATAACCCGAACACCAGTGAGCCCAGGGCCAAGGCGAAGACTCAGCTACTAGCAGCCCCCATACCCTACAGTCCTCCTCAGCAGCACCTACCACCCCACTGCCAATGCTGCCAAGTGTGCCACTGCCCCTACCCTTGACCTGCAGTCCGAGCACACTGTCAGAAAACGCTCAAGTGGCATCTTCTGGAGCCAAACCTGTACTTAGGATGCTGACCAGACTCCCAGACCTGCATGTACCATGAAACAGGTCTACTAGAAATAGCTTCTCCATGTGTCCTCTGATCAGACAAGGCCTCCCTCCTGGCAGGCAGGACACGCAACACACATGTCCCCTGCCGTCTGCAACCGGTGCCATGGGACAGGGACACAGGCAGCCTCCTGGACTCCGGCCTCCCTGGCATCAGGACACAGCAGGCATCAGGTGGCAACGCAGGGAGCCTGCATCCCCTGAGGCCATGCTCAACAGCAGGTGCTTTTAGAACTTGAGAGATTTCCCACTGGCAGTGCTGGGCCAACGTTCTTTCCTTTCAGGTGGGAGGGCATAAACTCACAGTGACTGGGCACCATTCTAGGTGTCAGGCACTCAAACATGGCATCTCTTGTAAGATCTCTTACACCATGCCCTACTGACATGAGTGACCTGTCCCCATTTCATGGAAAGTGAATGAGGCTAATGAGGCTAAGTCACATGCCCAAGGTCACACAGCTGGTGTAAACTGCGTAATCAGGGACTGAAGGCAGATGTGGGGGCCTTGAGATTTTCCCCAAACCACTTTTGTGCCCAGGTGTGGCAAGGTCAGGTTACACAGACCTACTCCATAGACAACAAGGCCATAACAAATTTTTCCTGAAACATTTTTCATTTTGGGCTCTCGTCACTGAATGCATGTACTTCTTTATTATTATTGTTGTTACAGTTTCTTTCTAAAAGCTCAATTCCACAAGATGCATGAACTTCTTTAGCATAAGCTATAACCTTGACCCGTAGTCTGTGACCAAGGCTGTCAGATGCTGGCACTGGCCAGGGACCCACACCCAAGAAAGAGCTGACTCTCACACTCCAACACTTACCACAACAGAGTCATTGTGAGTCAGGTCAACAACCACGGGCTCTAAAGATTCACAGGTGAGGTCCACAATTTCATCTCCAGCTTCAAAAGAAAGTATTTCAACAAGCATTAAGAGGAAAATAAGGTTGTATCCCTCTACCCTTTAGTATGACTGCAAACGTAATATACGTTTACCCCAAACTAAAATAATCCTGAAGTACACACTGCAAAGAGCACCAGGACCAACACCTCCTTCAGGAGGGAAAGCCAGTCAACACCCTTCCAGAATTCTGCTCTGAGTGGGGATGTATGGTTTTTACAAATGTACCTTGGCGGTTATATATGTGTGCACACGCGCACACCTCTATTCCATGGCATCCCACTTCCACACGGCTATGCCTCTGTGCCCCATCTGGGAGAAGGCACCATGCATGCCCAGACCTGGGCCTTTCTCTTTGGGATGGACCAGCCTGAAACCTTTGCTCCTCCCAGTAGGGGAAGCAGACCACTCTCACCTGGCCTAAGGACCAAAAGTCAGGCTTAGTTTAGTAACTTCATTGGTTAATCTAGGGATCTAGGGCAAACGCTTTTTTTTTCTTGGAGACAGAGTCTCGTTCTGTCACCAAGGCTGGAGTGCAGTGGCGTCATCTCGGCTCACTGCAACCTCCGCATCCCAGCTTCAAGCAATTCTGTCTCAGCCTCCCAAGTAATTGGGATTACAGGCACCCAGCAGCCTCCCTGGCTAAATTTTTTTGTATTTTTAGTAGAGAAGAGGTTTCACCATCTTGGCCAGGCTGGTCTTGAACTCCTGACCTTGTGATCCACCCGCCTCAGCCTCCCAAAGTGCTGGGATTACAGGCGTGAGCCACCATGCCCAGCCAAGGACAAACTTTTAATCTCCATTTATCTCCCAAGTGTCTCCCTACTTGGATGGAGAATAACAGTGATATTTACTGGTCCCTAGAACCTCAGCACACAAAATGGGTTGCATCTCTTGTGAAGCTTGCCTTTCAGCCCTTAGGGTATACTGTGATGTCTACGTGAGCACAGGATGAAGGTGAAAAGGACATGGACCAAACACTTAATGTACAACTTCCATTTATATAAAGTAAAAAATGACTCACAACCATTTTGTTTCTGATTACTATTAATATTTAAAAGCACTAAATGGGCCAGGCACAGTGGAACTCCTGACCTCAGGTGATCCGCACGCCTCAGCCTCCCAAACTGCTGGCATTACAGGCGCGAGCCACAGCGCCCAGCCTAACGTAACTTCTTTTATTTATTTTTTAGGTGGGGTTTTGCTGTTGCCCAGGCTAGAGTGCAGTGGCATGATCACACCTCACTGCAGCCTCAATGTTCCAGGCTCAAGTGATCCTCTGATCTCAGCCTCTCACACTTGGCTAATTTTTTTATTTGTAGAGACAGGGTCTTGCTATGCTGTCCAGGCTCGTCTGGAACTCCTGGGCTCAAGCAATCTGGTTGGCCTGTTTTATTTTCTTGTATCATAAAGTTTCACAGGAATAAAAACCATGATAAGCTTAGATATACAATATAATTTATATAACATTATTGCATTCTTTATTAAAAAGAAGGGCTGCCCAACAGTCCATATACTGATATACAACAATTTATTGAACCATTCTCTTTCTGGTGAACACAATTCTGGGCTCTTACAAAAACAGTGCTCTAGGCCTGGCGCAGTGGCTCATGCTGATAATCCCAGCACTTTGGGAGGCCAAGGCAGGTGGATAATCTGAGGTCAGGAGTTTGAGACCAGCCTGGTTGACATGGTGAAACCCCATCCCTACTAAAAACACAAAAAAATTAGCCAGGTGTGGTGGTGGGCACCTGTGATCCCAGCTACTTGGGAAGCTGAGGCAGGAGAATCGCTTAAACCTGGGAGGCAGAGGTTGCAGTGAGCCGAGATCGCACCAATGCACTCCAACCTGGGTGACAGAGGGAAACTCCGTCTCAAACAAAAAAGTGCTCTAATGGGCAGCCCTAAGCACACACAGGGGTAAGACTGCCTAGAGGATGACAAGTGCCATGCTGGAAAGCGGTTGGTTCCTTTTTGGTCTAGAGTCAGGATCTTAGCCTCAAGTCAAGGCTTTCAAGAATTCACTTGTAGAAGTGAAACTCAGAGACCACATAGAGAACTTCAGTACTCCTGGGGGACCCACGAAATTTATCTTGCACTAAGCTGCTTCTGTTTACAATGCCAGTTTGCAGATATCCTAGTTATAAAAACAATATATGCAGAGCAAAGGGACTTAACTCAGGCGGGTCATCAACCACTTCTCGAGCAGGCAGAAAGGCGAAATCCAATCTGGACTCTGCCTACACCAAGCTCCAACACAGAGAGCTCTGTGGACAAGTTTACCTTCGCGGGTGATTTTGTGTCTTAATGAAAACCAGAGGAGGAAGGCCAAGTCCTTTATGAGGTCAAGCAAATTGGGGATGTAATTTCAAAAAGAAAAGGTGGGCTATCTCATTGGCACTAGAGACTTTTCTAAATGGGTCCTACCCCACTGCTAAACATTATCAGAGTTGAATAGTTAAACCAGCTGAGAGGCTATTTCAGAATCCGTGAAGCTTTGAGTTGTAAATGGTGAGCTGAGATTGCATAGGCCTTCTAAAGACACGGAAAACACCTTCTAATAGCTCACCCTGGTACAGTGAGCTACCTCTCTCCACTTTAACATCATCCCACAGTTGTAGTCTCCCTGGCAATCTTACCGGTTTCCACGAGTTCTATGGGCTCTGCTTCCAAGGAAATCTCGGGGGTGGAGGTTGCTTCCCGAGTTCGCTTCTGGGTTTGTCTAGAATTTATTGCTCCACCACGACGTTTTCTCTGAGTAGCAAGAGGGAAAGAATAGTCACATGAACACCAGAATGTCAGGGTTTCAGGAAGAACTAAAGGGGCAACAACAGAAACGGTTCACCTCATTAACAGGTCAGTGAGTAGACTCGAAGTTAGGGCTCCTCTCAAAACTTGAGATTCCAGAATACTGAATGCTTATATAGAGAGAAATCATCCAAGACATACAACAAGTAGAAATTCTAGAAAGTAAAACTTCTGTTTTATCAAACCATCAGCAGGTCGGCTTGGGGTGGTGGCTCATGCCTGTAATCCCAGCACTTTGGGAGGCTGAGGCAGGAGAATCATGAGGTCAGGAGTTCAAGGTTAGCCTGGCCAACATGGTGAAACCTCATCACTACTAAAAACACAAAAAGTTAGCTGGGCCTGGTGGCAGGCACCTGTAATCCCAGCTACTCCGGAGGCTGAGGCAGGAGAATCGCTTGAACCCAGGAAGCAGAGGTTGCAGTGAGCTGAGATCACGTCACTGTACTCCAGCCTGGACGACAATGTGAGACTCCATCTCAAAAAAAACAAAAACAAGCCAGGCGTGGTGGCTCATGCCTGTAATCCCAGCACTTTGGGAGGCCGAGGCAGGCGGATCATGAGGTCAGGAGATCGAGACCATCTTGGCTAACACGGTGAAACACCTCTCTACTAAAAATACAAAAAAAATTAGCCGGGCGTGGTGGCGGGCGCCTGTAGTCCCAGCTACTTGGGAGGCTGAGACAGGAGAATGGCGTGAACCCGGGAGGTGGAGCTTGCAGTGAGTTGAGATGCGCCACTGCACTCCAGCCTGGGCAACAGGGTGAGACTCCGTCTCAAAAACAAACCAACCAACCAACCCAAAAAAACAAAAACTATTGGCACGTCAAAAGGGACACGATGCATCCCTTTACAAAAGCTTCAGGGCAAGTCAGGATGTGGACTTGTCGTGGATGCCCTGGCCAAAAGGCTGGAAACCCTTCCCTTTAACCAAAAGTTATCAATTTTTCTTCCCTGACTTTGTGTCCAGGCTTTCTGAGCCCTTTTTGTTTCTTAGCATAAAGAACTTGGAGTTTTCTGAGTTTCTATACATTGTGGAAAGCTCATCTTCCCCCGGGAAATGTGGCCTTGAACCTTTCAGGGTATTATCAACTGTGATTCACACCAGACAATCATCCCCCACAAAGAACTCAGAGAACCAAACCTGTTTTAAGCCTGTTCCCAGTGGCTACCCAAGAGCCATGTCTTCCGGAAGGTTCAGGCTCTCAACTGGCTGATCTGCAACTGACGCTCTGACCAGCCTTTCTTCCAAATCCTTAGGCTGCCTTTTGCCAATATGCTCTAGCCATTTCTGGGCTGGCTGGTCCCAAAAGACGAGTTGAGAATACCCTCCACCTTAACCAAGAGACACAGCCTCCCAACAGAGCCTGTCGCCTTGTTATTCCCACTGTGTATTTCTGTGCTCTTCTCCCCTGTGCCCTGTCCTGCTATCCTTCACACTGGACCACCTGGACAAGTACTGCACTACTAAGTCTCAAGTTCCCCACCAGTACCAGCCTTGCAGAACTGTTTTAAGGTCTAAATGAGATCATGTATGTAAAGTACTGCGCAGAGGTGGAATATGCTACTATCCCAATTCCTTAGCCTTACTAGGGTCAATCTGTCCCAGGAAACTCTGAAAGGACCAGATATTGCAAGTGAGATTCATACAAGATCTGGGAACACTCATCACCCAGCCAAGCCCACGCCAGGTAACAGGGATAAGCCTAATTATATCTGTGTTGCAATGCTACTCTTATCAAATGGCAGCTTGAGATGTTCTGGAAATGAAGCTGGGTCTAGCAACTTCCCACCGACTAAGGAGCACAAAAACAGCCCCAGGGGGGCCCAGAGGCCAAGTGACAGCAGCCATAACTCCCAGGTGAGCAGCTGCTCTTGGCCTCAAGTGAGCTGACAATAACCTCAGTGGAGTTCTACTGCCTAGTGTTTTAAGGGTTTCCCCAGCAGTCACTAGGTTACTTATGTAAAAAGTAGAGGTTCCTCTTCAGACTTTCCTCCCCATCTAATTACAAATAAATAGTAACTTCTCTTAAAAGCAAAACTTACTCAAAGACCTGTACTAACATTCTTAAATATCTGCAAAAAAAAAAAAAAAATTTTTTTTGTAGGCATGGAGTCTTGCTTTATTGCCCCGACTGATCTTGGCTCACTGCAGCCTTCACCTTCTGGGTTCAAGTGATTCTTGTGCCTCAACCGTCCACATAGCTGGGATCACAGGCGTGCACCTCCCTGCCCAGCTGATTTCTGTATTTTTAA